ATTTTAGTATTCATATTTTTATTAAAAACTCATTTTTTTTCCCCATGATAATGACGATGGCAGGTAAGTAAAGGAGACTGATTGCGACACGCAGTGTTTGAAAATTGTAGTAATACGATTAATTCATAACGCTGCAGTTCCAGATGGAATATTACGTAGTACCAGGGTACTGAAGTTCATTTTTCAACGAAAATTGAGACTCTTAACCGGTGGCCGGAGGGCGCCACTGGTTGTCCTACTCCTTTACTGTCCCGTTTTTGTTTCTGTGTGTCTTGTCTTTTTTTTCCCCAGCACGAAATGACCGGTAGTGTGTCGATTTGTTTCTCGTTACTCAGAATAACAAACAAACAAGACATTATTCTTTTCGATTGGAGATTGGCGAGTGCTCCGATGTGGTTTGCTCCTTCTTTCCTATGAAATATCTGTCGTCCTTATCTCTCTTTCTTTTTGTGTTTGTCGCTCTCTTGCAGCACCTCTAATCTTTGGCACTCATATATGGTCTTATTGTGCAGCAACTGCTGCAAAACGCTTTCTAAAAATTAAAAAAATATTCTTTTAAAAATATAGGATCTTATACAGTTACTGTACCAGACACGCTCTGTGCGGCACCCGCAGACCCAGAGATCCCAGCGAAGGCTTTTTTGTTGTTGTTAGTGTTTTACGGCACTCGCAACGGCATAAGATTATATTTGCGCGCGTGACATATTAAACATTTTCAGTAAGTAGAACATTTTGAATTTTGCCCTGGTGGCGGCCGTAGCCTACTCTTATTGATTTTGGACCACAAAGGGATCTTTAACGAGCGCAACTTGCAGACGGCATCTCCAAGATTATTCGTCCTTGTGCGAGAAGGCTAGGTGTTGATCTTTCCTGCCATTAGATTACGGGTGTGGCTGAAAGACAGCTGTAAGAAGAAGCCAAGGAGTAGCAGTAGCAAGGCTGCAGAAAGAGTCAGAGGCGAAGTTATCGATGGCCAGCCAGTGTTAGTACCAGCACCGTCTTCTGTTCCCCCCTGCTACCCACCCACACCCTGAGTGAAATTCATGTTAACCGTTGGCAGATGGTGTGGTGTAATTTTCTCCTTTGTCTTCATTCGCCTGCATTGTCCTGTTGCTATTCTGTCGCATCGAGGCCAAGTGATGTATGTGATGAAATGGAGGATTCTTGTTTTTGTATTTTTTGTTTTTGTTTTTATTGGTCTTACTTGAGTTCCCCTCTGTCGTTTCTGTCTGTCTATCTGTCTTACTTTTCCCCAGCACTAAATAACCGTTATTGTGTCAGTGTGCTTCTATTTACTCAAACAAACAAACAAACAAGTATAGTTAAGTTGCATAAGGGACTGACCTCAATCCTATTGTTGGCTTCTACATTTCCGCACACTATGTTTAGATACATTCAGTACTCTAGGCATTTTAGCGTCTAGAGTCTCCCCCCCCCCCAATCTTTCTCAAAATCTTGAACTGTGCAGAAGCGTCAGTCTGACTTTGGAGTGCAGTATTGCATCCTGGACCGTTGGGTAAGTGGCTGTGGCGTTTGGGTGAGTTACACACTCAGACGTTCGGGGTTCGAACACAAGTGAACCAACAAAGGTCCGAATTATTTCCTTGCCTTTTTCTGTTTTTGTTCCTCTCAGTCCAGTCATCGCTGTCTATGTCGTAATTATACGACTCTTTTGACCGCTGTACACGCAGAAGGCGTGAGTTCGATTCTTGAGTGGAGAAGTTTCTTTATCGACTATTTTCGTCTGTCTGCACGGATGCTGTATCCAGCTCAACTCGGATTGGCCTTTACAGTTACGGTAGAAGCATTCTGTCTGTCTGCCTGCCTGTTTGTCTGTCTTTCTGTCCGTCTGTCTGTCGGCTCTTCCTTGTTCCTCTCTTTCCGTTTGTTTGTCCAGGGGAGGGGGGGGGCTCTCATGGTCTAGAGCTTATGGTTTTCGCCTCTGATTTAATAGTTTCTGTGTTCAAAACCCGACTGTGACTGACCATTTTCTTCTCTGAAAAGTTCTCCTTTCACCTCCTTTTCTGCTCTCCAACCATGTTCCGCCGTTTGCTTTAGTTTGGGTGGTTGGAGGGCACCACTGGTAGGTTCTACTTCTTTCCTTTCCCCTCTGTTGTTTCTGTCTGTCTGTCTGTCTTACTTTTTCCCAGCATTAAACGACCTTTATTGTGTTGATGTGCTTCTCTATACTCAAAAAAATCTGCCTCCCCCCCTCCTTTTGACCCCTCCTATGGGCTCCTGGCTCTTTCTGCAGCCTTTCTACTGATACACCTTGGCTCGTTCTTACTTCTGTCTTTCAGATATTCCCCTGATCTTTGGGTTGGTAAGATCTAAGACCCAGCCTTCTCGGATAAGGGTATACAATTTTGAAGTTCCAGTGTGCAAGTTGTGCACGTTAAAGATCCTTTTGGTGGTCCAAAATCAATTTTAAAAAAAAAGGCTTTGGCTGCCACCTGGACAAAATTCGAAATTAATTCCTGTTAAGTTGAAAACGTTTAATGTGTCGCGCGCGCTCATATAGTCTTGTGCAGTTGCGAGAGCCGCAATACGCTTACCAAAACAAAAGAACTAATTTGTCTGTAAGATGTACACAGGAACATTATTTCAACTCTCCTGGATAGGCTCGTACTCCCTTATAATCGTAAACAGGCATTTGCCTGGGCGTCTGTGGTGTGGTGATAAGGCTCTTCGGTGTTGAAGGTAAAAGCTTGGGTTTGATTCCGGTGTCGGGGAGTTTTATTAAATTTGTCTAGTAACTCCGTTTTTCTTTTTTCTAGCGTGCTGTTTTTCGCTCGATTAGTTGAAACGGGGAGGGGGGGGGTGTAAACACCAGCATTAATAAGAAGAATGGGCGCAACATCTGTAAATAGCCAAGTTAAGTCTCTTGGGGTACAATATATTATCAGTTTAAAATTTCGTGTTCTTCCATCAGCACCCACATGCACACATGCTCGTGGGTGTTTGGCGGGTGAGAGCTCTTTGTCTCTAGTAAGCTGGATGACCTAGCTGGGTTGGATGCTATGTGTTTTCAGGGTATCTTTCACTCTCTCCATCCAGATCTTCCTTATGGTCTTCCTCTTCCCTTTTACCCTGATATTCTTTTGTCGTACGCTTTACTGGCTAGCTGGCGAGGTGCCATATGTGTCAGATGTCCAGACCATCTGATAATTTGCCTCCTGGTGTAATTGAGGACAGGTGTTGTCCCCATCATTTATCTGACCCTGATGTTTCTGATCATGTCCCATCTGGTTTTGTTGACCGCTTTTCTTAGACACCTCATCTGGTGGTTATTTTATGTTCCAGACTTTTGGTCAAGGAGCGGTGTTACAAGAGAGTAATAAACTCAAAAAAGGGGGAGAGGTCAGGACGATAGATGTTTGATATGAAAGCAGGAGCGAACCACACCGAAGCAGCCGCCAACCACCCACTTCTTTTTTGTGTTGGTTACTCTCTTGTAAAACCTCTAGTCTTGGGCACTTATAGGACCTGCTTGTGTTGCAAGGGCCGTAAATCCCTTACTAAAAGGATACATGCACTAACACAATATCATTGTTCCCAATCAGAGCATAATCATAGCTCTCCAGCATTCACTGTCATTACGAAACAGTCGTAATCAATGCTCCTTTATCGACATTATTTCTGGTCGTTGCAATGGCAGTCCTGCATAAAGCCACCTCCACGCATAATATCATGGTCGCCCAGGTTTGTGTGGAAATTCAATGAACACTGGCTGTTATTCTTACTCGCAGAATAAATATCCAAGCGTACAATCCCAAAGCTCTCCTTCTCTGTCTGTCTGTCTGTCTGTCTGTCTGTCTGTCTGTCTGTCTGTCTGTCTGTCTCTCTCTCTCTCTCTCTCTCTCTCTCTCTCTCTCTCTCTCTCTCTCTCTCTCTTAGTTTCGCCCCCTCTCTTTTCCCTTATCTTTCTCTCTCTTCCGTAGTTTTACTCCTTTCTCCCACTCCTGCGGAATCGTTCTCTTCCTCACTTTCTACTTCTCTTTCTCTCTTTCTCTCTTTCTCTCTCCCTCTCCCCCCTCTCTCTCCCTTCCTCCTCCTCTCTCTCCCTTACCCCCTTCACCCCCCCCCCTCTCTCTCTGTTTCTTTCACACACACACATACACCCCCCCCCCACACCCACACCCACACACCCTTGCAAAGATGGTTTTCATCATTTGTATAGGTCATTACCCTCTGCGTTAATACGGTCCCTTATTATGTTTGCCATACTCGCTCATCTATTCCCTGTCTTCATTTGTAGCTCCGCTTTTCCGTGGTTTTTTTTGTTGTTGCAACTAAAGAGCATTGTCTAACATTTCCCTTTATCATGTTGTCCCCATTTACGCACGATGTGGGTTTTTTTTAACACAATACAAAAGCGTTATAACCGTTGAGTATAGCGTATGACCTTTCAGACATGGTGGAACCTGCTCTAGCGGCCACCTGTATAAGATGATCACATGCGCAAGCAGCCACTTTTCGCCCCATGCATAGTTTTTACATTATAATGAAGCTCTATTAAACGCCCTCCTGTATAAGACAGTCACTTTGCTTCTCAACAATAGGTGGTCGTCTTAGACATTTCCGTCAGTATTTTAAGTGAGGTAAAACCTCTGAAATGGAGGGGCATCTGGTATGTGGAACGAGGTAGATGTGACTTATCAATATATTTTTAATATAGTAATCATCCCAATTAGTTATAGACTGACACCAGATAAGCTGCAAAAATAATTATGAGTAAACCCAGTTGTAGTGTTGGCCAAGTAAATGTGGCATATTCGTTAATGGATTCAATTGTTGATTCATTTGTTATGGGATAAATAGTTCTCACGTTATCGGGCTGTTTTCGAAGGTTCTGTGATCCGCGAATCAATTTGGAGTTAGGTTGCTTAGTTAACTAAATGCTTGTAAGCCAGCGGGATTTCCTGTTGCTGAAACTATTAACCCCACAACTTATTATGTTTTTCGGTGTTTATTAGTATGTTATTTTGGTCTTTTTCCAGCCAAAATCCCAGAAATCAAATCGGAGAGAGAAAGACATCAAGCTGCGAGCCCAAGTCAAGGGTAAGTCTGCATGTTTGTTATTTTAAAAAAATCTTGTTGGGGATTCCATACCTCATTAGACCCACGCAGGATATTTCGAAGCCGGACTACGTGATCCTCCGCCAGGACAGACGGCGGAGAGACGAGTATTCAAGAAACGACGGGAGAAGAACGCGGTCAGGGCTGTGGTGAGAGTTCTTCACGGGGGAGTTCTAGGGTGTGGGTGGTCCAGGCAGTTGCCATAGCTCTCCATCCTCTTGGCTCGCATACATGGACTTCAAGATCGGGAGGGGGGGGGGGGGGCAAGCTTGGGAATAACTTAATTGAGTTTGAAAGGGGTGTTGAACTCCTTACCACACCAGATGCCAATATGTACGGTGTCCTGATAGATTTAAAGAATTATAGGCTACCCTGACTCATGGCCGAGTGGGGTGAATGTAGCACTGGACATGTGTTATTCTAAAAACGTTCTTAATGGAGGGTTTCATGACCATTTAAAAAATCCATCGTGTTCTTATTTTGACTTAATGTTTTATTGTTGTATTGATGGCAGTATGTTCTCTCTCACCGCTTCGTTTTATGAGGTTCCATTCAACACACAGCTAGCAACGCAACAAAACAATGACAACAGCAACATCAACAACTAAATGAACTACAGCAACAGCGACCGCTACAAGGATAAACACGTGGTTTATCGCTTATCCTTATCCCCAGGTAACCAGAAGATCTGATATGAAATCTGATATGACGTACGTTTGTACCCGATCGCGTGCATATTGTGAACCTGGATAAAAGAGACAAATATCAACTCTGACTGTAATTATTGGTAAAAGTCGGACAAGCAGTCGTTGACTTCATCGTCATCCGGTGCCTTGTCGACTGGAGTGGGCGATAATGGATCTCCACTTCATTCCGTCTTGCGTTGACTTCACATAGTCAATATTATTTTCCTTTTTCAGCGGCACTTGTAGGGTTTTATCTTAAAAGACGGTATATCCAGTTTTGCTCAAAATTGAGGGATCGATTCCTCCTAGTAGTTTAAAACGCTAGGCTGGCGCTCATTTTTGCCTTACTCTGGAATCCATAACTTAATAAATATTGCGGAGAAAGTGTTTTCGGAGATTTTCAAAGCGAAAGGCAAACATGTGGGCTTTTTTCTCCCTTGTACATTTTACGAAAATGGATATACTGTCTTTTAAAATAAAACCCCAGACTTGTCAGCTTTCAAAATGTGAATGCTTTGGTAATACAGCCATGCGTCACACTCATAAGGTATTTCAAAGCAGGCCTTATTTTGGGTGTCAGTGGAACGTCTTAAGGAACAAAAGACAGCGGAAAGATGGTACCCTAACATCAAAAGACAGACTGGCAGGAGAGAAGGAGTTGCATGGAGCAGCTGCGAACTGATAGAATTATGGATAAGGGTGATGACCGAGCAAGGTCTTCACAGGGCTCCCAGCAAGGCCAGAATTGAAATAATGCCAACAGTAATGGTGTCTAATTATCTTGGCTTATAGCTTTCAAACCAGAGCCCTTATAGACTGGCTTTAATGACAAATTATTATGAGGTACTCACCGATTTCCGCGAAGTTCACAATTTCTTGTTTGTCCTGGGACGTAAAATTCCCATTCGTTCTACACTGTCCCCGTGAAGATAACTGTGATGGGTCCTTCTTTTCAGCCCTCTCTTCTTTTTGCTGTTCCATTTTTTTTCGATGGAAAAGCAGAAGAGCCCCAACACATGGCAACTTGGTCGCTCTTTGGCTAGGAAAGACCATTCCTTTTATGCTGTCATCACTGCTATTCGATTTGTGGAGTCTGTAATTGTAATGCGCTCGGGCCGGGGCAGAAAATAAAATCGTTTGCTGAACAGTTATCGAACGACACAGGCTACATTTTCTTTCAAGACCGTCCTAATCTTATAATAATAAAGTCACTATATGGTTTGAAACATAGGTGTCTGATTCTCTTTCCTAGTTGTAGCCAGGTGCTGTATGTGTAACTAACAACCCTTTCTTAAGAGGGATCACCACCCTACTGTAAAGTGATGTTGCTTGTGTAGCACACCCCGTAAGACACACAAGTCGGTCTTTTGAAGGCGGAACGAGTAGTAGAACAGTTCACCAGACTGAGAGAGGTTTGTTACCGGAATAACGAGAAACAGTTGGGTTCTACTCGGATTTGAACGCAAAACTTCCAGACAGTTTGGGGACAAACTCCACCACTGTCTTAAGCTTTAGAACTTGAGGAGCCCCATGGGCATGGGTGTTTAGTACACCTGTACTGACATACCAGCCCCAGCTTTGCGTCTGTCTGTCTGTCTGTCTGTCTGTCTGTCTGTCTGTCTGTCTGTCTGTCTGTCTGTCTGTCTGTCTGTCTGTCTGTCTGTCTGTCTATCTGTCCGTCTGTCTGTCTGTCTGTCTGTCCCCCCCCCTCTCTCTCTCTCTCTCTCTCTCTCTCTCTCTCTCTCTCTCTCTCTCCCCCCCCCCTTCCCTCCCTCTCCTGCTTATTCTTGCCAAGACCTCTCGTTGGAGTCATGAAGGTGTGTGACATTACACCCCCCATCTATACATGTATATATACCTTCAAAAACACAAAAAAGAAAAAAAATAGATAAAAAGACATTTTAGACCAACAAAAGTGAGGTTATTTTGTCCAATTAAGACTAGCATTGATTCTGGAGCATCCGGTCATGATGGTTGTCGTCATTGAACACATTTAATAAAACAATCGAAACATTGGACGAATGTGCACACACTTTAAAGATACTGTTTGCAAACCTTCTTGAAGCACCGTGAATTCACCAAACGACAATGTAGAGCCAGGCTAGTTAATCGATTTTCTGAGTGTCTGTAGAAGGGCGTCTTGAAGCACGGGAGAAGACCATTCGAGATTTTCCTATTCATCATTGCTGTGCACGATTAATTATTTATACGGTATTTAAAGGGCAATAGAATGAATGATGGTCGACACTTGGGAAGCTTTCTTGTTGTATGGCTATGGTGTGAGACTTGCGGCATGAGTGATCTGTCAGTTGTTGGAGTCGTGGCGTTGGTAGCCTAGTGGTTAGGCTACAGGACTTGCAATCGTGAGATTGCGGGTTCGGTTGTTTGAGTCTTAGCTCGGTCCGACGTTGTGTCCTTGGAAAAAACGCTTTACACAAATTTTCAATTTAGCTTGGTCCTTTCGGAGATGGACGGGGGGCTCTCGTGGCATAAGGTTAAGGTGTTCACCTCTCATTCAAAGGTCCCGGGTTCAAATCCAGGTAGCGACGGAGCATTTTTTTTCTCTAAAATTGTCTCCTTTATCTCATATCCTGCTCTCCAGCAATGGTCTGTCTTCTGCTTTCGTCTCCACTTTCTGCCCCCACCCCCTCACCTCATGTGCCCCTTCCTGTGAGCTCGTGACTCTTTCTGCCGCCTTTCTACTGTTTTTCAGCCACACCCCTGATTTTCAGGTAGAAAAGACCACCTAGCCTTCTCGAAAAATCTCGGAGGTCCAGTGTAGTTGCGCACGTTAAAAATCCCTTGGTGGTCTAATATTGATAAGAGTAGGCTTAAACGGCCGCCACCCGGGCAAAATTCAAAATTTCCTACCAACTGAACATGCTTGGTGTGTCCCACGCGCTCATATATGACCTCATGCAGTTGCGAGCGCCGTATACACTTACAAAAAAAAACCCCAACAACAGCCGGGGACGGGGATGGACGTTGAACTCCGAGGTCCCGACTCTTAAATAGCATAATAGTGATGGTGGGTGCGCGAAACCTATACTATTTCGCCATTTCAGTTGTCGGAGTCGCATACACAGTCACAATAAAATTGTCCTAGATGTCCACCCACCTTGGAGGAGAACAAATGGTCGTCTCAGACTGGTGGACGTCTTGAACAGTGCCGATATAATAGGGAAAAGTTGAGATGCGAATTGGAAAGTTGTATGTTTGAATAGGTGATTGTACATTAGAGCATGTTCGTCAGTTTTTGTGTTGCTACTGTAGTTATGTTTCTTCTTCACCCTTTTCAGCGCTCGTCTCTGAACTGATCAGGTTTAGGGTTTCGTCGTTCTGGTTTTCTGAATACTCTTTTCACGGTTTTTTTCTTCTGAAAGTCAGGTTTCTATTCTGGGTGAGATCTGAATACTTTATTGTGCACCCTCACATACACAGCCCCC